ATTCCAGTGGAAGGTTCAGGTTAATCGTCCGCTTGGACTTTTGGCTTTCACCTGGACCTGATTTTTGCGTGTACAACCGTTTTTCATTTCCCTGCCCCATGGGCAGCTGTACTCCGACTTCGATGAAAACAAAGATTTAACAGAGATATTAACACAAATGGTAGTTGAACAGCACACATCAGTGCTCAGATGAAAACAAAGATTTAACAGAGATATTAACACAAATGGTAGTTAAACAGCACACATCAGTGCTCAGATGAAAACAAAGATTTAACAGAGATATTAACACAAATGGTAGTTAAACAGCACACATCAGTGCTCAGATGAAAACAAAGATTTAACAGAGATATTAACACAAATGGTTAGTAAACAGCACACATCAGTGCTCAGATGAAAACAAAGATTTAACAGAGATATTAACACAAATGGTAGTTAAACAACATACATCAGTGCTCAGATGAAAACAAAGATTTAACAGAGATATTAACACAAATGGTAGTTGAACAGCACACATCAGTGCTCAGATGATAACAAAGATTTAACAAAGATATAAACACAAATGGTAGTAAAACAACACCCATCAGTGCTCAGATGAAAACAAAGATTTAACAGAGATATTAACACACATGGTAGTAGTTGAATGTCCAGAAAGCAGTGGCAAACTACTAGTTGTAAATTTGCCTAGAAAAACCACAACAGCCAAAAAAAAAAGTTTGGGGTTGGTTCTGCAACGTCCTGTAAAGGATATGCAACTGACTGAGGTAGTTGAAAACACACATCAGTGCTCAGATAAAATCAAAGATATTAACACAAATGGTAGTTGAGCGCATTAATAAGTCATGCTAGCAAAATCCTCTTACAAATTATCATGAAAAGATTGAAAGGAAATTACAATATGAGCTGCATGAAGCACAAGGGGGTTTCAGACAGGGTAGAGGAACTAGGGATCACATCTTTGAAAAATGTAGAGAATTCAACATAGATCTTCATGCTTGTTTCATTGATTATAGCAAGGCATTTGATTGTGTCCAACATCGGAAACTGTGGACTATTATGAAAAATATGGGGTTTCCAGCTCATTTGGTGCATTTAATTGAAAATCTTTATCATGAACAACAAGCAGTCATCAGAGCAGCTGGTGAAACATCGGATTGATTCGAGGTGCAAAAGCGAATGAGGCAGTGATGATTCTCTCACCATACCTATTCAATATATACGCCAAAAATATAATGAGAAATGTTAAAAATGACCAGACTTGTGACATTGATCCACTCAAAATTGGTGGCAACCTTATTCCGGAACCCCGCTATGCAGATGACACAGTCCTCTTTTTGAACCGTGTAAAAGGAATAGAACATTTTATATTGTCTGTCCAAAGGCACAGTGAAGCTCAAAATCTGTTCTTGAATCATAGCTTTAGATACAAGATGCCTTACAGAAATTAGAACAAGAGTCGCCATAGTTAAGGTGACTTTTAGCAAGATGCAGAAGATTCTTACTAACAAGAAGATGTTAGCCGCAGTGAGAAAAATATCAAGGTGCTATGTAGAACCTGTGTTACTGTATGCATGTGAAACATGGACAATAAGTAAAAAAGCTGAAAAACTTTGAGATTTGGGGCCTGATCTCCCCAACGCTTGATGAAATCAAGGCCCAGAAGGGAGACAGGCTAGCAGAAGCTGCACAGCAAACCAGGTTGCTAGCAGAATTCACTGAAGCAAGTCAATAAATTTAAGGCCTTCTGACTCAGCTCAGGTCAGCCCAGGATCAAGAAGCAGCCCACCGGCAGGCAGAACGAGAAGAAAGAAAGAGATAAATGGCTGAACTGAAAGAAGCCAGAGAGTCAGCAGACAAAGAGGTCGCCTTGCTGGTCCAAATAAAAGCAGTAGCTGCAACACTAGCAGCCAAGAAAGAAAGAGAATCTCTGCAAATATAAAGAAGCAAGACATTAGCCTTGAAACCAATCACCCGTGGCGCCAACAAATGCACAGCCACAGAAAGAAAAGCTGTGAGTCACAAGGCGCAGTCTATGAAACCAGCACAAACCGCGAAACAGAGCACTGAAACAGAAGCGATCCCAGATGCAGATGAGGCCACAACCAGTGAGGAAGTCAAAGAAGCGGAAGCTGATATTGAGATCAGCGAGGCCGACATTCAAACGATGCTTCAAAGATTTAAGGAACAGATGCACCTGCACAGGATTGGGATGGAAAGGGGCCGCTATGTGATCTTTTTGGACCAGGAGAAGTTCGCAAGAGAATAGCTACTACACAAAGAAGTATACACTCCCATACGCATAAAATTTCACCGATTTTGGGAAGAGATTGACCCAGCCCATACACAGATGTGCAAGACAAGAAGAAAACAAAGGAAACAGGGCAAGCCTAACAGACGAGGTAGTCGCCAGTTTTAACCCACACATACCCGTTCGAAACAACCCAGACCAGCCGAAGCAGCAGAAGACAGACCGCACCGCCATCTATGCGGTCCAGCCAGCTCATTAAACGGAGGAAGCACTGACATCGCCAGACCTGACAGCAGAAGCCAGACACGAGGAGACCCCTCCCTTACCTATGCACGATTGTGTACACATGATGTGTGTATGCATTATTCTATAATTTATATTTCTTTATTATATCCATAACATGCATTGGTACTCTGAAAAATGAGTGCTTAGAAGGGCCGAATGTCAGACAGGCCTGCGTGCCCAATTTGTAACCCTTTGAAAATCAAGTTTGTTCGTTCGTTCGTTCGTTCCAGACCAGCCCAGGCATTCTGTTAGTCCTTTTTAGGAGATCAAAGAGATCAAGAGGTAGGCAAAGAGACAAATATCTGGATGGTCTGTCCAGATGGATAGGGTGAGACAAAAAACATTGAACTGATCCAGGTTTCTGGTGAACATGTGGGATGGCGAAACATGATAGCAAATGCTTACCGGCATGGTAAATGGTGATGCTGACATCCTAAGCTCCAGAATTATTGAAGCACAAGAGCGAGATGGACAGATGTTGAGTGTGAGCGGGCTGCTGGCCTGCCACGCATGCTGTGTCATCTGTCTATTCTGAATCTGCATGTCTAGTGCATTTTTTGGAACTGCACATTGGAGTAGGTTCTCACTCATTTCTGTGCTTCAAGAGTCCACTCGAAACTGAGTGCCATATAAATAGAATCTGAATATAAATCAGATTCCAGCTGATGAGTCACTTAACAGTGACTTTTCATAGCATCTGCATTTTGATTTTTAGCATTTTCTCCATGAGTTTTCAGGGTTGTTTAAAAACAATGGTGTGGCTGTTCAGTTTTGTTACAGTGTATCAGAACTTACAGTGTGAGCAACATTAGCAATACTGCCTTTCTCAACTATCTACCCCTATCAAGTGGAATTCTCAAACTGTTTTTCTACCAAAACAAAATACAAAAGTCACCAGACATTCACCTACAGTTGTCATCAATTGAACTGAAGAAAAAAAAACTGAAAAAAAAAAAATAACAGAATAAATAAATTAATTAATTAAGTAAATAGAAACTGTTGGTGTCTCAATAAATGCTTATTAGGGAGGCAGTGGGTCTATTCTTATTTTGCCCACAGTGGGGTCCGTGTACCTGCACATTATGTAGGTATATGAATTTAGCAGTCACTAAAATACAAACAATTATGCATTGTATATGACAGAAGTCTATATGTTGCAAATGATTTTATCATATCACTGGTTCACATAGACAACATTCTGAATGTTCATAGAACTAAATCAGAGGGCAGTGAGTCCACAGATAATGAAAATCCATGTGTGTATTTCTAGAGCTTGGCTGACTACTTCCAGAAGAATGTTGTTAGCAACAAGGACAACAAAGTAGAGCTGAAGAACTCTGTGGAGAATGAATACAAGAAATGGAGAAGTGAGTAATTTATTATGACATTATTAAAATCAGATTACTTATTTTGTTAGGGATTTCGTCTTGTCGTGTGGACTAAAAGCATCTGGATAAGTTTTTGTCTTTCTTCTGAACTGCCATTAAGTATTGTGGGGCATTTGAGTTTTCTTACCTGAACCAGGTAAGTTATCCAACCATGCAATATTAGTTTGCTTATGAAGTGAAACTAATCTGTGTGTATAATTACAATATCTGGCCATAAATGGTCCTTGGCCAACTGTTTAACTGATGCCATTGTATCAGCAGGTATACATTTCCACCTCCCCTTGTCCAAAGTAACTATCACTTTAGGCAAGGCTATGTTATTGGGTGACACCTTAGTTCATTTATCACCATGCACTATCTTGTGACTTCTACAACTATACCAGACTACATTTTCTGCATGTGCTATAGACGGGCTATTTCAGATCATTTATATATATATATCTTACTGAGGGTATATTCAAATTCAATGAGATGAAATCTGCAAGTAATTCAGCCATAACACATAACACATGGAATCATCATGTACAGGCTGAGTGATGGATGTACTGGTTAAAAGAAAAAGGGGGGGGGGGGGGGGGGGGTCAGAATTGTTATGGACATAGGGTTAGATGTGTAGTAAGGATTATGACCACAGTTATCCTCATCATTATATACCATGCTACCATGCTGATAAGTGTCAGTTTCTAATCTCATGTGATCATAGTTTGGGATAAGGTCTGTAATCTTGTACCATTTATGCCTTGCATTAAGATAATCCAGGTACGTAACTTTCAGTATTTGAACTGAAGGTAGCTACCATGCACAGTGGCTACTGCTACTGCTTGCCTGTTGGCCCAGCAATCTAAGGTTTGAATCTGCGTTGGGACAGATTTTTACAAAATGACCTGCCCTCCCAGGTTGACCCAGCCCAAAACTGATACCAGGAAAGCAAAGACTATCAGCGTGATGTTCACCAAATCTTTCATCAAGTGCCACTTGACTGGACCTATAATACTGTGTGTCTAGCACCAAATACCTGATGCTGCAATGATGTGAGAAGGGGCCTGTTTGTTTGCATTAAAATGTTTTGTCTTGTGTCCCAGGTATGATCACTGGAAATGAAAGTGGCATCATTGCTCACTTCTCAGTCCAGAGCAACCCCCCTCTATTTCTGTGGTAAGTACTTGTTTATGTGGAAACATGTTATAGTCAGTGCTTGTTTATATGTAACAATTCTGTGCTCACTGTTTGTTTGACTGGAAATATGCTGTACTAAATACTTGTTTGTCTGGAAACATGTTATAGTCAGTGCTTGTTTATATGTAACAATTCTGTGCTCACTGTTTGTTTGACTGAAAACATGCTGTACTAAATACTTGTTTATCTGTAAACATGTTATAGTCAGTGCTTGTTTATATGTAACAATTCTGTGATCACTGTTTGTTTGACTGGAAACATGCTGTACTAAATACTTGTTTATCTGTAAACATGTTATAGTCAGTGCTTGTTTATATGTAACAATTCTGTGCTCACTGTTTGTTTGACTGGAAACATGCTGTACTAAATACTTGTTTATCTGTAAACATGTTATAGTCAGTGCTTGTTTATATGTAACAATTCTGTGATCACTGTTTGTTTGACTGGAAACATGCTGTACTAAATACTTGTTTATCTGTAAACTTTTTATAGTCAGTGCTTGTTTATATGTAACAATTCTGTGCTCACTGTTTGTTTGAATGGAAACATGCTGTACTAAATACTTGTTTATCTGTAAACATGTTATAGTCAGTGCTTGTTTATATGTAACAATTCTGTGATCACTGTTTGTTTGACTGGAAACATGCTGTACTAAATACTTGTTTATATGTAAACATGTTATAGTCAGTGCTTGTTTATATGTAATAATTCTGTGATCACTGTTTGTTTGACTGGAAACATGCTGTACTAAATACTTGTTTATATGTAAACATGTTATAGTCAGTGCTTGTTTATATGTAATAATTCTGTGATCACTGTTTGTTTGACTGAAAACATGCTGTACTAAATACTTGTTTATCTGTAAACATGTTATAGTCAGTGCTTGTTTATATGTCACAATTCTGTGCTCACTGTTTGTTTGACTGGAAACATGCTGTACTAAATACTTGTTTGTTTATCTGTAAACTTTTTATAGTCAGTGCTTGTTTATATGTAACAATTCTGTGCTCACTGTTTGTTTGAATGGAAACATGCTGTACTAAATACTTGTTTATCTGTAAACATGTTATAGTCAGTGCTTGTTTATATGTAACAATTCTGTGATCACTGTTTGTGTGACTGAAAACATGCTGTACTAAATATCTGTTTATCTGTAAACATGTTATAGTCAGTGCTTGTTTATATGTAACAATTCTGTGCTCACTGTTTGTTTGACTGGAAACATGCTGTACTAACTACTTGTTTATCTGGAAACATGTTATAGTCAGTGCTTGTTTATATGTCACAATTCTGTGCTCACTGTTTGTTTGACTGGAAACATGCTGTACTAAATACTTGTTTATCTGTAAACTTTTTATAGTCAGTGCTTGTTTATATGTAACAATTCTGTGCTCACTGTTTGTTTGACTGGAAACATGCTGTACTAACTACTTGTTTATCTGGAAACATGTTATAGTCAGTGCTTGTTTATATGTAACAGTTATGTGCTCACTGTTTGTTTGACTGGAAACATGCTGTACTAAATACTTGTTTATCTGTAAACTTTTTATAGTCAGTGCTTGTTTATATGTAACAATTCTGTGCTCACTGTTTGTTTGAATGGAAACATGCTGTACTAAATACTTGTTTATCTGTAAACATGTTATAGTCAGTGCTTGTTTATATGTAATAATTCTGTGCTCACTGTTTGTTTGACTGGAAACATGCTGTACTAAATACTTGTTTATCTGTAAACTTTTTATAGTCAGTGCTTGTTTATATGTAACAATTCTGTGCTCACTGTTTGTTTGAATGGAAACATGCTGTACTAAATACTTGTTTATCTGTAAACATGTTATAGTCAGTGCTTGTTTATATGTCACAATTCTGTGCTCACTGTTTGTTTGACTGGAAACATGCTGTACTAAATACTTGTTTATCTGTAAACTTTTTATAGTCAGTGCTTTTTTATATGTAACAATTCTGTGCTCACTGTTTGTTTGACTGGAAACATGCTGAACTAAATACTTGTTTATCTGTAAACATGTTATAGTCAGTGCTTGTTTATATGTAATAATTCTGTGCTCACTGTTTGTTTGACTGGAAACATGCTGTACTAAATACTTGTTTATCTGTAAAACTTTTTATAGTCAGTGCTTGTTTATATGTAACAATTCTGTGCTCATTGTTTGTTTGAATGGAAACATGCTGTACTAAATACTTGTTTATCTGTAAACATGTTATAGTCAGTGCTTGTTTATATGTAACAATTCTGTGATCACTGTTTGTTTGACTGGAAACATGCTGTACTAAATACTTGTTTATCTGTAAACTTTTTTATAGTCAGTGCTTGTTTATATGTAACAATTCTGTGCTCACTGTTTGTTTGAATGGAAACATGCTGTACTAAATACTTGTTTATCTGTAAAACATGTTATAGTCAGTGCTTGTTTATATGTAACAATTCTGTGATCACTGTTTGTTTGACTGGAAACATGCTGTACTAAATACTTGTTTATCTGTAAACATGTTATAGTCAGTGCTTGTTTATATGTAACAATTCTGTGATCACTGTTTGTTTGACTGGAAACATGCTGTACTAAATACTTGTTTATCTGTAAACTTTTTATAGTCAGTGCTTGTTTATATGTAACAATTCTGTGCTCACTGTTTGTTTGAATGGAAACATGCTGTACTAAATACTTGTTTATCTGTAAACATGTTATAGTCAGTGCTTGTTTATATGTCACAATTCTGTGCTCACTGTTTGTTTGAATGGAAACATGCTGTACTAAATACTTGTTTATCTGTAAACTTTTTATAGTCAGTGCTTGTTTATATGTAATAATTCTGTGATCACTGTTTGTTTGACTGGAAACATGCTGTACTATATACTTGTTTATCTGTAAACATGTTATAGTCAGTGCTTGTTTATATGTAACAATTCTGTGATCACTGTTTGTGTGACTGAAAACATGCTGTACTAAATATCTGTTTATCTGTAAACATGTTATAGTCAGTGCTTGTTTATATGTAACAATTCTGTGCTCACTGTTTGTTTGACTGGAAACATGCTGTACTAACTACTTGTTTATCTGGAAACATGTTATAGTCAGTGCTTGTTTATATGTCACAATTCTGTGCTCACTGTTTGTTTGACTGGAAACATGCTGTACTAAATACTTGTTTATCTGTAAACTTTTTATAGTCAGTGCTTGTTTATATGTAACAATTCTGTGCTCACTGTTTGTTTGACTGGAAACATGCTGTACTAACTACTTGTTTATCTGGAAACATGTTATAGTCAGTGCTTGTTTATATGTAACAGTTATGTGCTCACTGTTTGTTTGACTGGAAACATGCTGTACTAAATACTTGTTTATCTGTAAACTTTTTATAGTCAGTGCTTGTTTATATGTAACAATTCTGTGCTCACTGTTTGTTTGAATGGAAACATGCTGTACTAAATACTTGTTTATCTGTAAACATGTTATAGTCAGTGCTTGTTTATATGTAATAATTCTGTGCTCACTGTTTGTTTTTGACTGGAAACATGCTGTACTAAATACTTGTTTATCTGTAAACTTTTTATAGTCAGTGCTTGTTTATATGTAACAATTCTGTGCTCACTGTTTGTTTGAATGGAAACATGCTGTACTAAATACTTGTTTATCTGTAAACATGTTATAGTCAGTGCTTGTTTATATGTCACAATTCTGTGCTCACTGTTTGTTTGACTGGAAACATGCTGTACTAAATACTTGTTTATCTGTAAACTTTTTATAGTCAGTGCTTGTTTATATGTAACAATTCTGTGCTCACTGTTTGTTTGACTGGAAACATGCTGAACTAAATACTTGTTTATCTGTAAACATGTTATAGTCAGTGCTTGTTTATATGTAATAATTCTGTGCTCACTGTTTGTTTGACTGGAAACATGCTGTACTAAATACTTGTTTATCTGTAAACTTTTTATAGTCAGTGCTTGTTTATATGTAACAATTCTGTGCTCATTGTTTGTTTGAATGGAAACATGCTGTACTAAATACTTGTTTATCTGTAAACATGTTATAGTCAGTGCTTGTTTATATGTAACAATTCTGTGATCACTGTTTGTTTGACTGGAAACATGCTGTACTAAATACTTGTTTATCTGTAAACTTTTTATAGTCAGTGCTTGTTTATATGTAACAATTCTGTGCTCACTGTTTGTTTGAATGGAAACATGCTGTACTAAATACTTGTTTATCTGTAAACATGTTATAGTCAGTGCTTGTTTATATGTAACAATTCTGTGATCACTGTTTGTTTGACTGGAAACATGCTGTACTAAATACTTGTTTATCTGTAAACATGTTATAGTCAGTGCTTGTTTATATGTAACAATTCTGTGATCACTGTTTGTTTGACTGGAAACATGCTGTACTAAATACTTGTTTATCTGTAAACTTTTTATAGTCAGTGCTTGTTTATATGTAACAATTCTGTGCTCACTGTTTGTTTGAATGGAAACATGCTGTACTAAATACTTGTTTATCTGTAAACATGTTATAGTCAGTGCTTGTTTATATGTCACAATTCTGTGCTCACTGTTTGTTTGAATGGAAACATGCTGTACTAAATACTTGTTTATCTGTAAACTTTTTATAGTCAGTGCTTGTTTATATGTAATAATTCTGTGATCACTGTTTGTTTGACTGGAAACATGCTGTACTAAATACTTGTTTATCTGGAAACATGTTATAGTCAGTGCTTGTTTATATGTAATAATTCTGTGCTCACTGTTTGTTTGACTGGAAACATGCTGTACTAAATACTTGTTTATCTGTAAACATGTTATAGTCAGTGCTTGTTTATATGTAATAATTCTGTGCTCACTATTGTTTGACTGGAAACATGCTGTACTAACTACTTGTTTATCTGGAAACATGTTATAGTCAGTGCTTGTTTATATGTCACAATTCTGTGCTCACTGTTTGTTTGACTGGAAACATGCTGTACTAAATACTTGTTTATCTGTAAACTTTTTATAGTCAGTGCTTGTTTATATGTAACAATTCTGTGCTCACTGTTTGTTTGACTGGAAACATGCTGAACTAAATACTTGTTTATCTGTAAACATGTTATAGTCAGTGCTTGTTTATATGTAATAATTCTGTGCTCACTGTTTGTTTGACTGGAAACATGCTGTACTAAATACTTGTTTATCTGTAAACTTTTTATAGTCAGTGCTTGTTTATATGTAACAATTCTGTGCTCACTGTTTGTTTGACTGGAAACATGCTGTACTAAATACTTGTTTATCTGTAAACATGTTATAGTCAGTGCTTGTTTATATGTAACAATTCTGTGATCACTGTTTGTTTGACTGGAAACATGCTGTACTAAATACTTGTTTATATGTAAACATGTTATAGTCAGTGCTTGTTTATATGTAACAATTCTGTGCTCACTGTTTGTTTGAATGGAAACATGCTGTACTAAATACTTGTTTATCTGTAAACATGTTATAGTCAGTGCTTGTTTATATGTAACAATTCTGTGATCACTGTTTGTTTGACTGGAAACATGCTGTACTAAATACTTGTTTATCTGTAAACTTTTTATAGTCAGTGCTTGTTTATATGTAATAATTCTGTGCTCACTGTTTGTTTGACTGGAAACATGCTGTACTAAATACTTGTTTATATGTAAACATGTTATAGTCAGTGCTTGTTTGAATGTAGCTCACTGTTTGACTAGAAACATGTTATAGTCAGTGCTTTTTGTATGTAGCTCACTGTTTGTTTGACTGGAAACATGTTATAGTCAGTGCTTGTTTATCTCTAAAGTAAAAGATCACTGGTATATTGGGCATAAGTGGCCAGACTCATATTTTTTATAGACCAGTCAGCCCTTAATGTGTGATGTGGTCAACTTTGCCCCGACCACCTTTACTTCCCAGGACTTTACCTGGTGCCCATTTAAGGCTGGGTTGACCTGAAAATGAAGTTCATATATGTGAAAAATTTCAGGTTGCCTGCAGATTTCAAGCCATGACCTTCAAATCTGCAGACGAGCATCTAGCCCCTAAATCACAGTGGCTCCCAAACATTAAATGATCAGTTACTTATTTTGTAAAGTGTAAGATCCTAAAATGTTGTGGGCACTAGAAATATTGAAGTTGCACTGGTGATGTTGATTCATTTGTATGCTTAAATTTTCATTTGAGGATTTTTTAAAATTTTTTTTAATGTTGATAACCAACTCCACACTTTACAAAGAAAAAGAAGGCATCTTGGCATGAAAGAGAGATAGTGTTCCAAAGTTTAAAGTATAGCTAACTGCCTGTCTGACATGTTTGCTTCTGTCTCTGCAGCATTATCTGGAGAAACATTCAGGATGAAAACAGAGTTCCAACAACAGCATTCAAGTGAGTATCAATTAATGACATGAATCTGCTTGTTATAGACTCACACTAGGTAGGCCATACTCATCATTTTATGTTTCTGGTGATTGTGATTCTTTTTCCCCCACCATTCTGATTGGGGTTTTTATGCTGAAATTGTTTCTATTTATTAATATAGCTTATGTATAGAAATTGCACACACTTTGAATTATATTGCAGATGTTACCTGAAACACAAAAACACACACACCTGTCAACATGCTTGCTTTCACCAACATAAATATGTTTAAAAGAAAAAACATTTAGGATGTTCTTAAACTGCAGCTGACAGCAGGTATGGTGCTGCTGTATTGATCTTGTCTGTGTGTAGTTTTTAGGTGTGAGAGTGCAGATCCTGAGATCTTTTGAGGGACTCTCAGGCAGGTTTGTGCTTGATTGCACGGAATGTGTTGGAAGTGTACATACATGTGTGAATTCAGTTGACAAGTCATTAAAGAGATTAAAGTACTGACTCAAAAAAAATTATGTAAATAATTTTTTAAAAATGTATTTAACATAAAAGGTGCGGAATAAAGTAGGTTGAAATTCTTAACAGAAACAATTAATATAAACTCTACATACTATACTTAACCCACTGCTTGCCAAGCACATTGAGCCTTACACTTTCTCAGATACCACATATTCTAGTGGCTACTAAAAATTGCATAGCTTCACAACTTTTTAACATAAACTCATAAATTTTTGTAATTTTGCACCATATAGAATGGAGAACAGATTGCAAGAATTAAAAACTGCATAATCTTGTTTGACATCATCATCTCACAATATACACCTGATTCACATACATGAAACAGTTTACATGAACTATTATAACATGACACACACACCTCCAGCTGCCACACTACCACTGTAAGCGAAACGTCGTCTTCCAGTTTTGACCATGTTTTTGATGGCAGCACATAAGAATTATAAAGTCACAGTCATTAAACTGTTCGGCAATATCTTTGCTTTCCGATAAAATATCATCAAAACCCCTCTCAGCATTAGACATTTTCACCAGAAATGTTTGCTATCACGAGTCTGACCATGGGGCATTATAGAAACAGCCATATAATGTAATCGACAAGGGATAACATTCGTGAAACACTGATAAGTTGTTTTTCTTAAAGAAGCATAGAGAAATGAATGAACTGTCAGTTTCAACTGCATTTATCGCAAAAGTCACAATTTTAACATGACGGCGAGCATCCAAAGTTACAATCACAAGGGGTGTAATCATGGTAGGTCAGCGAGTCGTGTAACATGTGATCATGGTAATAAGTGGGTTAATATTTCTATTTGTTGGTCTCTGCAGAATCTTTTGTAATATTTTGTGCTGCCACCTGTTTATTATTGAAGCTCATAAGGGAAACAAAAATAGTAATATAACCTAGCACATAAGGCAGTCAAGGAGGATTGATATGGCAGAGAGGACATAACATGGCTTAGAGTCTGCCCAGTGGTTGATAAAGGCATAAACAGAAAGAAGAAATTCTGCAGTCCCTGTTGTTTTATAAAGACTTATGTGTCTAGTGGCAGAATGTTTATACTGACACTTCTAATGGTTGCCTTATGCATGTATATGCTGTTGGCTTTGCTGAGACTGCAGTGTGTTTCTATTTTCCCAAAAGTGACAGCGATGGGAACTCTGTGGTTTTCACATGCATAGGAATGGAGCAGTTATGGGGTGACTGTTTGCCTGGAAGCTGGAACTGTGACTGACTGTCCGACTTTGTGTTATTCACTTCTGGGGCAGGTTATGAATAAATATGTTCTTTGTGTTAGATCAGACAAATATGGCAACTAAAAGTTGAAGCTAGAAAAAAAAAATCATGAAATGCAACTGTAACACACTTGATTGACAGCAACTGTAACACACTTGATTGGCAGCAACTGTAACACACTTGATTGGCAGCAACTGTAACACCATGATTGACACCAGCTATTCTACATTTCAGAGTCCTTGACCGACTGGGACCACGTGCTTTAACATCTCACCTGAGAACATTTGCAGATTACCTTGTGTATGAGATTGCTTCTACTCCCGTCAATCAGACTTCATCAAAGGTGAACTTGTAATATTTTGTTAAATGTTTTGTTTTAATCTAAAGCTGTTTAAAAGAGTGAACAGTAAAGTGTACGCTAGTGACTGTCTTTAAAAATAGCAGAAATTGTCTCACTATTTTCTTCTTTAATGCTAACTGCTAACAACAGAAAACTGTTCCTGTGTAGTGAATTGGGTGGCTGTTTAGTTTTTCTTCTTTGAATGCTAATTGCTTTCATAACAGAAAACTGTTTCTATATAGGGAATTGGGTGGCCATTTAGTTTTTCTTCTTTGATTGCTAAATGCTTTTTGGTTCCCTCATGTATATCTGGGACAAGTTTTAGCTTTTCATTTGAGTTCTTTCATGCCTATCTATAAACAGTTTTTAGTTTATATTAAGACGTCCCTCATGCATATCTGTAAACAGTTTTTGCGTTTATTTGAGACAACCTTCATGTAGATCTATAAGTTTTGAGTTTCAATTTGAGCCCTATACATTTCTCCAACAAGTTCAAACAGTTCTTCTTACCAGTCTGACAGTGGCCACCTGCTTGGGATGATAGCCCATGCCTGTGTTTGTAGCAAACTGTGTAAAGTTTATGTGGGCAATACAGCTACTTTCACCTTCTATTTTTTCAACAGTAAACTTTTGAAACATTAGTCAAGTGCTGCTAATATTAATAATTTTGTTTCAGTCATCTTCTCGTGTAAAGAGTAAAATTGTATCTATATATTATGTGTTGCTAAACATACCAGGTGACAAGTTTATGATGTCCTTTTGTTATCACCAAGTTAACAAGTTTTGTCTGTATGTATGTTTTCTCAATATGTGAAATCCTGTTTCTGTGTTAGTGAATATGTTTATACATAGATGATGATTTCTATTGTTCTAAACTGTTAAGGAAAGCATGTTAACAGTTTGAGGACAATTTGTATGATCTTTGTTCTCTTTTATGCTGAACAGTTAATAGACTGATTTGAAGAGCATTTTGGCTTTGCCTTTCATTGTTACCACTGGGATGATCATTGATACTTATGTGCTATATGGACATCATGTACCTAGGACTTTTCACCATAGGCCAATAATGCTACAGAGCATAATTTTAATAAGACAAAACTGGCTTGTTTCAAAGACTTTGGCATATGGCTCCTGTTTTGTTGAATTTACTTTTGTATTTGTCTTCTCTAAGAAACCTATCACATTATCGTGTCTCATAAGTTGTGAAATGTATAAAGTTGTTTGTGATATACTTACAAAGGTGATGTTCCAAGAATTGATTGTTGATTTTGCAGTGTATTGATGCTTTGACTGACATGATATGGAAGTACAACATCATCACCATTGACAGACTGGTGCTGTGTCTTGTAAGTAGGTCATATGATCTCTGTGTATCAGCTAGTTTTTGTTTCAAATATGGATTCAGTGTTATTTTACCATTTTATAAAATGGCATAACATAACCCTTGACCCATTAGGGTCGTAGAGGTGTATTAATGGAAGCACCAGCACATAAAACCTGCCATCTTTCTCTGTCTTCTGCTTGATGAATAAGTGCATGATAACTTAGTCCTGTCCATTTCTTGATGTTGTCATTCCAGGTTCTTTTTTGCCCTCCTCTTCTTCAACTACCCCCAATGTTCCTTGTAGTACACTCTTTGCAATTGAATCATGTCTCACCACGTGCCCAAACCAAGCTAGCATGCGACGTTTCACCACTGCCAAGAAAGGCTCCTAATGTCCCACATATTTTTATATTTTGTCTCTGAAATATAAGTTTTTTGTTCTAAATAACTAAGTGTGAGAGTCCAACTCTCACATCCGTATAAGAAAATAGACAACACCAGTGGTTTGTAAATATTGACCTCGACTGCGATGCTGATTTTGCTCTTCCACATTGTATTCAGCGACGACATGGCATAAGAAATTTCAAATAGAAATGGAAAAGGGGAAGCTTCTCCCAAGAGGTCTGGGAAGCTACAGGCCAGGAAAGGACACTTGGGCAAATGCGGAAACTTTTGCTTTTGACGTCCATGAAGGGTTCCAGAACAGACAGGAAACTATGGTGGTAGGACTGGATCTCGAGGATGCTTTTAACAGAAGGATACGACATTTTGATGACTGCACTGAGGGAGAAGGAGGTCAGTCCATGGCTGGTGAATTGGGTTGCAGCTGTCCTGTATTCACGTCGGGTTGCTCTCCAACTGAGCTCATGGACCTCAGAACCATGCACTTTGGTCCCAGGACTGTCACAGGGATCTGCCATCTCGCCTGTGCTCTTTAACGTGTATACGAGCAAGATATGCAAGCCTGGAGGCACCAGGAGTTGGAAGGATACTGACTTTTTTGGATGATATACTTGCATATAGGCAGGGGGAAGAGAGGGAACAAACGGCCCGGGAGTACAAGCGACAGTAGACAGGGTGACTGAGTGGTGTACAGAAATGAGGGCTGTCGTCACCCCAGAAAAGGCATCTGTTTTATGGTGTTCTCTGGACAACAGAATCGTTAAAGCTAATGTCCCATATCTCATGATAGATGGTAGGAACGTCAACAGAGAGAGCGAACTGAAGTATCTGGGAATTACATTTGCCAGAAGCCTTTAATTTAAGGACCATGTGGAGAGTGTTGTGACGAGATGCCAAAAAGGACTTAGTACACTCAAGACTATGACTGCAATTGACATAGAGCAGAAAATGCTTTTCACACTATATCAGCACCTGATCCTGTCAGTGGTTGATTATGGCCTGGGACTGCTTACCGTTTCAAAGAGTCAGATGGACAAACTAGAGCAGATTCAGAACGCGGCTATGCGGGTCATTCTGGGTTGCACCAGAGACACCCCAGTGGTGTGTATGCGATACATCCTTAGTTTGCCGACGGTTGCAGGTAGGCACAAGGTGCAGCAGGCGAAGTCATATCTCAGGGTAGCTGCAGGAAGGTTAAGGGTCAGCGGCTGATTAGAGGAAGGTCATGGATGGCTCAGGCAGAAGACACAATCAGACAGGTTTGCATCCTTGAGAACATTAGGTGAGGAGAAGAGTGGGTCAAAGTGCCACCTAAACAGTCTAAACTTGTGTAGGGTCATAATCACACTGAGCCGGGAATGCAGAGACTGGCCAGCAATTGACACAGATGTGGAAATTCAGCAGTTAATTCTAGATAATGCTCGCTCAGAGGATTTGATCATTTACACAGACGGTTCAGTGTCAAGAGGCAAAAGAAGTGCTTGGGGCTTCTTAGCAAAAGTTAATGATCGATGTTTGGTGCAGGAGAGCCTAGAATATGATACCACAACATCCAGCTTAAGAATTGAGGTGGAGGCGGTCACTGCAGCTTTCCGCTGGCTAGAGAACACGACACACACACACACATCATGATTGTAACTGATTCAGAAAGCATGCTGAGGAAGATCAGAACAGGTATGCTTCGTGCAGAGTGGCATGCTTCGCTGCGGAGGACACGGGTGAGGAGTATTGTCTGGATTTTTTCACAGAGGAACGCTGGTGTGTTGGGAAATGAACACGTGGACAAACTAGCTGACTCTGCACAACTTGGTGGAATACTGATACATGATAATGCAGTGTGGGAGAGCGTGTACAGTTCGGGGGAGCAGATGGATCACCACAGTCTGGCGAGATTGATGCAGCGGGGAGTGACGAGAGGTTCTGGCAGATGCTCGAGGCTCAGAGGAAAGGCAAGACAGACGTTTAATCAGAATGCTACTGGCACCATTAGTATCAGAACTCTTTGCTGGCTGCTGAAGATGGGGACGAAGCGCTTATGGGAATGCCCCGAGTGCTGTGATGTCGGTTCTTGAATCAAATTAAATCAAATCAAATAGAAATTCACACGTACTGACTAAAAGTAACACCAGTGCTTTCATTGTCTTTAGTTGGTTATTAAGCAGTTTACTTTTGAAGTTTCAGCTTGTACAGTTAGAAATATACCAATGCATGTGTTGCTCAGAAAAACTTGGTCAGAATGGGTGGTGAATCATACACTTTGTTAGAGAATGTCAGTCAGGGCACCACTATTGTCATGTCAGACATTTGTCTTGTAGCTTTTCTAAGTCAGTTTACATCATCAGTCAGCCATCTGTGCACTTTACTGAAAACATTGACAATCTTCACAGCTCTGAATAATGGACACAGCTAAATATCTAAATGAATTTAGACTTATTCAACAACAAACATTCCAACAGCAGAATCAGCTGCTACAGTCTCAGTCTTCTTATAGGTCACCAAACTGTGTAATTCACTATTTGCCCATCTGGATCACTGGATCCATATCTTATTCAGAATTTATGCTATCATGTGAATCTTTCATGTATTGTTGACCCAAAACTTGGAGTGTTAAGCTAAAATCATTTACAGTGATTGTTAAACTCAACTGGGGGCGATGGTGGCCAAGATGCTTTTCTGCTGACCCACTGGCCATAGGTGTGAATTCTGCTGACCCACTGGCCATAGGTGTGAATTCTGCTGACCCACTGGCCATAGGTGTGAATTCTGCTGACCCACTGGTCATAGGTGAGAATTCTGCTGACCCACTGGCCATGGGTTTGAATTCTGTTGACCCACTTGCAATAGGTTTGAAATTCTGCTAACCCACTGGCCATAGGTTTTGAATTCTGCTGACCCCCTGGCCATAGGTTTTGAATTCTGCTGACCCACTGGCCATAGGTTTGAATTCTGCTGACCCACTGGCCATAGGTTTTGAATTCTGCTGACCCACTGGCCATAGGTGTGAATTCTGCTGACCCACTGGCCATAGGTTTGAATTCTGCTGACCCACTGGCCATAGGTTTTGAATTCTGCTGACCCACTGGCCATAGGTGTGAATTCTGCTGACCCACTGGCCATAGGTTTGAATTCTGCTGACCCACTGGCCATAGGTGTGAATTCTGCTGACCCACTGGCCATAGGTTTGAATTCTGCTGACCCACTGGCCATAGGTTTTGAATTCTGCTGACCCACTGGCCATAGGTGTGAATTCTGCTGACCCACTGGCCATAGGTTTGAATTCTGCTGACCCACTGGCCATAGGTTTGAATTCTGCTGACCCACTGGCCATAGGTTTGAATTCTGCTGACCCACTGGCCATAGGTTTGAATTCTGCTGACCCACTGGCCATAGGTTTGAATTCTGCTGACCCTCTGGCTGCTGCTGACCCACTGGCCATAGGTTTTTGAATTCTGCTGACCCACTGGCCATAGGTTTGAATTCTGCTGACCCACTGGCCATAGGTTTGAATTCTGCTGACCCTCTGGCCATTGGTTTGAATTCTGCTGACCCACTGGCCATAGGTTTGAATTTTGCTGGCTATAGGTTTGAATTCTGCTGACCCACTGGCCATAGGTGTGAATTCTGCTGACCCACTGGCCATATTTTTTAATTTTGCTGACACACTGACCATAGGTGTGAATTCTGCTGACCCACTGGCCATAGGTGTGAATTCTGCTGACCCACTGGCCATAGGTTTGAATTCTGCTGACCCACTGGCCATAGGTTTGAATTCTGCTGACCCACTGGCCATAGGTTTGAATTCTGCTGACCCACTGGCCATAGGTTTGAATCTCCACTGAGACTTATTTTTGTGTGTGGTAATTTGTACATTTGACTGTGCTCCTAGGTCAGCCCATCTAAACAATGGACACCAGGAAATGTTAATGGGAAGTCAAGATGGGCGTAATGATATTGGTCAGGATGCCCATGAATGCAGATTAGTTTATAAAAATATGAAGCTAGCACCATATATCCAATATTCTCAAAACAAAATCAAAAACAGACCACGCATTAATCAGTTCCCAAATGCAAATCATGTTCTAAAATGTCTTCTGTCTAATTTAGGATAGTGACCCCGCCATTCTTTTTATTTTTGTATGTGTTTGTTTTTGTCTAATTGGAGAGAGTGCCAGTCGTTTTGGGAGAATATCAATCATTTCAGTCTACCATTTTACATAGCCTTGTATCACTTCTTTGGCGAGAAAGGCAATATAAGAGGAATGGTCATTTTAAACATGTGATTGAAAACAAATAAATGCACAAAAATGTTTTATTATTTATGCAGTCTCAAATAAATATTGAATATTTTACTAAATTTGAAACTGGAAATCTTTTCACGAACTCATGATATGTATCAACATTTTTCATTTTCAGTGTAGGTCTCAAAATGTTTCAACATGAACATTTCTGTTAACACTAACATGTTTACTAATTGCAGGCCTTGAGGTGCCGGGAGGGCAAAGAGGCCCACGTTCAGTTTGCTGTGATTCAGTTTCTGTTGACAGCAAAAATGGACTTTAAATCTCGCATTCATGATTTTATCAGAGAAGTATGTTATTAATATTTTTAATTTTGAGCAAATATTTATCTTGTGTAGACTTGCACAACTGTGCTGCTTATTTTAAATAACTATTGTAACATTGGCCCCCCCCCCCCCCCCCCCCCATTGGAGGGGGGGGTGGTGAAAATCTGGAGCTTTCTAACAAATGGAAAGAATGGTGGATACAATGAGAAAATTCTTGACTGTTGATCATTTGTTGTTGTTTCTATTGAAAATGCAAGCAAGCACACGAAATGAGAAATTATGTTCAAAATCATGAGATGCCAAGAATCACGATTGCCCAAACCGTTTGACAAAGCAGAGAATGGAGAGTGAGAAGCAACAACAAAATTCATAATCATGGTAGTTGACAGAGAGGTACACAGATAGGTTAAATGGGAGTAGAGGCATGCAGAGAAGAAGATATAGAAATAATATTCAGGCAGACTTACAAACACTTAGAGTCAGCAACTGGAAAGAGAAGACCAATCAGAGAAATGATTAGAGATGGTCAAAAGCTGCAGCAGTAAACCTCAAGGGGCCAGAATGCTTAAATAGAATTTGCCAGTGCACAAGATGATGATCAGCATGTCCTGTTACAACAGCATTTCCATACCTTTAATTAGTTCATGTAAGCTTGCCTGGAGGTCCTAGGTTCCAAACTCAGTGAGGCTGATTTTTCAATTAATTTTGGCTCCTAGGTTGACCCAGTTTAAAATGAGTACCAAAATATGGTATAGGTTGTAAAAGTTGCTGGTGTCTTATTGATTACATAACCTGTCAGCAGTAGCTGGTATCTTATTGATTATATAACTTATCAACAGTAGCTGGTATCTTATTGATTGTATAACTTATCAATCGAAGCTGGTATCTTATTGATTATATAACCTATAAATAGCAGCTGGTATCTTATTGATTATATAACTTATCAACAATAGCTGGTATCTTATTAATTATATAACTTAACAATAGTAGCTGCTTTCTTATTGATTGTATAACCTATAAAAAGCAGCTGGTATCTGATTGATTATATAACCTATAAACAGTAGCTGGTATCTTATTGATTATATAACTTATCAACAGTAGCTGGTATCTTATTGATTATATAACTTAACAGTAGCTGGTATCTTATTTTATTTACGTTTCTATCATGGAATCAAGGCCGAAGGCTTGCGATATCCATAGTACCAAGCCAAAGCTCATGGTTTCTGGATACTTTAAAAAAAAAATCAACAGTAGCTGGTGTTTTATTGATTATATAACCTATCAACAGTTAGTTAGTTAGTTTGTCTTTCCTCTTAGGCCTAGGGTGGCACAAAGGGCAGAGGTCATAGCTCTCCATGTCTGGCGGTTCATTGCCACCCGCTTTTAGGGCTTGGATGTTTGTTAGGCCCATGGTTGAGCTTTTCCTGATAATGATTCTACATTGTGTCTCTTGGTCTTCCCCATTTTCATTTCCCTTCAAATGTCCATATGTGGTCTTGATGTGAAAGTCTGGTCTTATCCATTCTGAGTGCATGGCTGATGTAGTTCCAGCGGCGCTTTCTGATTAAATTGGATACATTGTCTTGTTTGGTCTATTGTCTTGTCTGAAATCTATCCAGTGGATTTTAGCAGAAGCTAGTATCTTATTGATTATATAACCTATCAATAGCTGTTATGTTATCATTCTTTATTCCAACTCATCACAGAATACTTCTGAACACTGGGCACAGTCAAACTGGCATGATGTTCATATGGCATTCCATAAGGTAAGCTTTGCTTTTTTTTTTTTAATGAACTAAATAAAAATCTTCTTTGACATGTCAGTATAATCAATGCTACATATATTTATGATCTAAAGACCTAAATAGAATTATACTGCATCATTGGATGTTTATAGTTTTAAAGTAAAATACAAGTATGGTTAAAATTGAAAAGATTGACTTCATTGCATCGAGTTTTTCACACATGGTTCTGTCTTTCACTGTAGAATGACTGACTGACTGACTTTTAACCCCACCAGGACATCACACAAGCGATAAACACTCGATGACACAAAGTGCCACCATGTGGATGAGGATCGCCGTGGAGAGGTCCCAGAAACCGCGTTCAGACAATTGGCCATATTTATGGCCTGCCTATATTGCGGCCCCTGGCAAAAAACCAGGGTGGGGCTTCAAATAACAACAAATTTCATCCTAAAAAGGACGAAACACCTATTGCTAGGTCGTTTAGAATGACAAGCTGTTAGATATATTACAAGTCAAGTGAATATTCAGTTAATTACCACAAAACTAATGAATGTTGCATGTCAAATTATATCTTCTGGCAGAAATATCCTGAGAAGTTCTACTATGAAGGCACTCAGGACTTAAACAATCCCATTCAACACCAGTACCTGCCTGTGTATTTTGGAAATGTTTGTCTTAGGTTCCTTCCAGTAAGTATGTGTACAGAGGGAGGTGTATATTTGTGTGTGTATTAAATTGAATTAATATATATCCTCCCTGCTTGCTTTTTATCTCACTCTCTCCTTCTCTTCATTTCTTCTTCCCTTGCTTCCTCCCTTCCTATATGTTTATACCCTTACTTTATGTTCCTGTCTCACTCTCCTCCCTTCCTCCCCTGTCCTCCTTCTTTCCTCCCTTCCCCTCCCTGTTCTCCTCTCCTCTTTCTCTGTTTCATCTCCTCCCCCTTTCAACGGTCTTCTTCAGCTCCTTACTCTCTCTCTGTTTCTAGTGCTTCTCCCTCATATCCCTACTCCTCTCCCTCTTTCTCTTCATGTCATCTATTCTCTCTCTTCCTCTCTCACTTACTCACTCTACTGCCCCTCTTTTCCTAGTGGTTTTGATAAATTTCAACTCTCAGCATCTCAGCATTTGTTTATTTTATGTCCGCCACATTTTCTTTTCTTCCTCTCAAAAAGCAACCCTACTGCCTAAATTGCTTCACCATTCAATAACTGATCATCTTATGTGTTTTTCTTATACTATCCTCATGTGAGTTCCAGGGCCCCATTTGTGGGGACAGAAGAATAGTCGTACTGTCTCCCCTCCCCCTTTCAACAAGTCGTCAAGTTGAGGAAATAGGGGTATTTCCTTTGAAATCAGAGTGCATCTGCCTGAGAGGCGAGGAACTAACAGTCTGCTTTGATATGTAAAACGAATGGGCATGCAAAACTCAAGATCTGGAATTTAAGACAGAACTTTATGCTGCCAGAGTTTAGAGCTAGCAAGTTGAAGAGGAAGAAGAGAATTCATTTACTATATATAAAGGGAATGGGAAATTAGTTTCCTTGTGTGTGTGCATGTGTGTGTGCATGCGTGCGTGCGTGGAAAGAGACAATGCATTCAGTTTTGCTAGCAGTAATAATGATCATCCCTTTAACTCACTACTGTCTTTTTAGCCTAGCCTAGAATATTGTGTTTGTTCATACATTTATGCATGTGGGTGTATCAGCTCAGTATACTTCTCTATATTTATGCATGCAATGTGTACACAAATTAAACAGTTTACATTCATGGCACAACCTTGAAAATAAGAAAAACACCTTGAGAAACCCTTGAAACAAAGCTGGAGAATTTGAACCTTTTTTCCTAAACTGTTTCTGATAATGGCTCATACGAAAGTTACATTACATGGTGGAAGGTAAGCTATGTTTGAAATATGATTCTGTAATATCCAACTCAGGTTTTTGACCTGACAATTCATCGACTTTTGGAAGTTGCAAACATGCAGAAGTCTCTGGAGATTATATTGGATCAGATTGGAGGGTTGTACAAGTTTCATGGTGAGATGTGGTTCTTCCGTAATTTCAGTTTCAAACACTGTCTTCATTCTCACTTTACCACCACATTTAACATGTCTTTCATATATCTTTTTTTTTTTTCGGGTACTCTCTGGACAGTAATTTGCCTTCCCTATTTATTTTTCCTTTTATTGTTTGGTTAGAATATGTAAGAAAAGCATAGCATTGTCAGCCACAATGAAGCCATTCAAATGTGTTCTTGCTTTGAGGAAATTTCTGCTCTCTTTGTCTAGCTCAGATGCTCTATCTCCCCCCCCCCACCCCCCTCCCAATCTCTCTCTTTATTTCTTTCACTCTCTCTCTCTCTCTCTCACACACACACACACACACACACACACACACAGTCTTCCTTCTCCTCCTCCATTGTCAACAGGAAGTAATATTCAGTTGTTCATGCAATAACTAAAAGAAGTGTCATTTGTTTATGCTTAGACATTTCTGATTATATGTGACCTTTTGGTTGATGGCTGGGTGTGCTTTCCTAATATCTTCCCCCAGGATGATGTCACAGGACAGTCCAGTATTTTCAAGGGTGGTAAGAGTGGGGTTCCTGGCTTTCTGATGCTTTTAACTACCCCGAAACATCTAGAACTGGGCCTAACCCCAACCCACCTACATCCCACGAGAGTGTGAAGCCTAGGTATCACGACTGCATGCAGCCTAGGTCCCATGACTGCATGCAGCTTTGATGCCATGACTGCATGCAGCCTAGGTCCCACAACCGTGTGCAGCCTATCTACCACCCCCTAAAATATTTGACTGTCTGTTAGAGGGTTGGGGGGGGGGGGGGGGGGGGTATTGGGGATAGGGATAGAACCGGTGGCTGTTTTCCAGATTCTACCAGGAAAAGTTATGTTCCAGATACAGCCTGTTTTAATATTTTATGAAATAACATTAAACTTACCCAATGGTTCTCTGTATTATATTTTATAGGCATTTATCCTTTTGCACACTGGAAACATTCTCAGTATTTGCTTTGTATCATTTGGTGCTTGAGAGACAGCCTGTGTTTATTCGTTTTTTTTTTCAGACATTGTGTACAGGTCTCATGTGTCTTAGCTATGATGTGTTTTAATTATTATTTCTTGTTGTAAAAATAATTTAATATTGTATTTGCTGATGACCAGATCATCCAATCACATATCTGTACAACACACTCTTTTACTACGAGAAGAGGCTGGCAGACAAGCCAAACATCAAACGTAAACTTGTCAGTGCTATTATTGGTAAGTGAACATTCACGTGTTGATTATTATTGGACACTCTAAGAGTTTGACATATGCTGCATTTACTTTACTTTACCTTTACATGCTGCATCTTCTTGTGGTAAAGTTGCACCACAAGGAAACTGTGGAACTTTTGGTTTAGATGCTTTTATATATACAGTGGAACCTCGCTTAACGAGCATAATTCGTTCCAGCATCACACTCGTTAAGCAGAACAATTTTTCTGAAATAAATTATGAAATTATGATTTATGTCAAAAGAAATACTCACAAAATGTTGTGTATAACGTTTATTCAAAGAAACTAACCTATTAGTGCTGCAGGACACAGAGTCTACACCTACACTGTTACACAGGGCCCACCTATCTCTCAGCAGACCAGACCTGACCATCTGCTCATCCGACTTAGCAGACGCAAGCTATCCCCAAGTCCTGGACGACATAGGAAGTGACCACAAACCTATACTCACAACTGTAAGCACCACCCCTAAATTACGCTTCAAGCAGAGAACCCGTTGGAATTTCCGAAAAGCAAACTGGAAACTATTTCAGGAAACATCTGACTGCCTCCTGGGAAGAATTGACAACAGCTGTGTGGAAACTTTTTGTGAAGACATAACACAAGCAATCCTGAATGCAGCGTCGAAAGCCATCCCAAGGGGCAGCCGGAAGGCATATAAACCTTTTTGGAATCAAGAAATTCAAAATACTATATCTGAAAGGAATAAAGCAAGAATATTTCTCGAAACTGCACGTTCAACAGAAGCAAAGATCCAATACAATAAAGCATGTGCCAGAGTAAAGCTTGTAGTTAATAAGGCTAAAAGAGATAAATGGACAGAAACTTGCTCCAACTTAGACCTTAGACAGAATGGAAATAAAGCATGGACTTTAGTTAAAAACCTCTCCGGAGAAAGTAGAAGGGTGAACCCAAAACCAGTGACAGATGGGAGTAAGACAATCACTGAAGACAAGAAGAAAGCAGAACATTTCAATCATTATTTTGCCTCGGTTAACAGAGCAGGTAAGCTGTCAGAACTCGATAGAACACAGCTCTCTCAGTTGAAGAAACAAGAGAGAGCTCCAACAGCCAGCGACTCCCTTTTTGAAAATGAATTTAGCATGGATGAATTAGAGCAAGCCCTGAAGAAATTGAAACCTAGAAAATCTCCAGGCCCAGATAAGATCCACAACGAAATGCTGCTACATCTTGGCCGGTCTGGGAGAGAAGTAGTTCTCAGGCTTATTAATAAAACTTGGAGGTCAAGCAAACTTCCAAGGGCATGGAGGAATGCATATATCGTCCCCATCCTTAAAACCAAAAAGCCTCCAGATGACCCCAAAAGCTACCGCCCGATATCCTTAACATCATGCTTGGGCAAAGTTGCAGAAAGAATGATAAACAGGCGCTTATATTGGTTCCTTGAGAGTTCTGGTGTTCTATGCCTTGAACAGGCAGGCTTCAGAACCAACAACTGTACAGAAGACCAGCTGTTCAGACTGACACAAAGAATACATGATGGCTTCCAGAATAAGAAACACACAGTGGCAGTCTTTGTCGACCTCCAGCAGGCCTATGACAGAGTATGGAGAAAAGGTCTCCTGATGAAGATGATGAGCATAGGAATACATGGCAGATTGTATAACTGGGTGAAATACTTCCTGATAGATAGAACAATTCAGACTAAGATGCACAACGCAATCTCTTCTAAAGAAGTCTTGGAGGAGGGCTTGCCACAAGGCTCATCATTGAGCTGTACACTATTCCTAATCTTTATCAATGACCTGCCAGAACAAATCAAGGCCGAAAAAGCCTTGTACGCTGATGACCTAGCAATATGGCAGAGTCATGAAAATGTGGAAAGTGGAGCCCAAAGACTGAATGGAGACCTTAGAAGACTGCATGATTACTGCCAAAGATGGAAACTCAAGATTAACTGTGCAAAGACGGTCTACACAATCTTTACCAAAAGCCACCAAGTAGCAAGGAAGAATATTAACCTGAGGTTAGACAAACACCAAGTGATGAAAGAAGAGCATCCCACATACCTTGGAGTCACACTTGACCCGCAGCTCAGCCTCAAGAACCATATTGAAAACATCAGGAATAAGGCATTGAGGCGGTTACAGTTATTAAAGAGACTTGCAGGTACATCATGGGGATCAGACAAGGAAACTCTGAGGGGCTTATACCTAGGATATGTTCGCTCTGTGATAGAGTACAACAACTCACTGCTTACAACTTGTTCCAAAACTAACCTAGAGACTCTTGACAGAGTACAAAATAATGCCCTCCGATTAATCTGCGGAGCTATGCAGTCTACACCAACTGCTGCATGTGAAATCCATACAAATGTGGAACCCCTCGGGTTGCGGAGAGAAAATGCCACTTTAGAAATTTATGAAGATGCGTTAGGAAAAATCGTAACCATCCTAATAGACATCTTGTAGAAAACTGGGAATCCAAACAAAGAATAAAGCACAAATCGGTTTTACACTGTGTAAATGAAATTCAGGACAGATACCACCTCCCAGAAAGACGTCAAGGAATTCAGAATGTTGCAAAAAACCTACCACCACATGCTCGCTTTAAAGCTCCAGAAGTCCAAACTAAATTGGTAGGCGAGGAAACCAAACAGTCCGACCCAATCGCTCTTATGAACTCATCACTAAAGACCGTTGATTCTTACCCCCAAGAATGGATACATGTCTATACTGATGGATCAGCATTTAAAGCTACCATTAAAGCAGGTTACGGAATCTACATAGGTTATCCCGATGGATCTGTTGAAGAGATTTTTGATGCATGCGGGGAATTCTGTTCAAACTATGAAGCTGAAATAATTGCACTGGAAACAGCAGTATACCACCTAAAGACTGTAATGGATGTTTACCCCTCAAAGGTCCAAAATATTGTCATCTTCACAGATTCAATGTCTGCCCTTCAAGCTCTGGAGGGCAATGAACGCTGCAGAACTGACATAGCCAAGATAATCCTGGATGCCGATCATCTTATTACCTCATACAATATCAGAATAGTGATGCAGTGGATTCCAGGTCACTCCGGCACACCAGGTAATGACAGAGCTGACAGATTGGCAAAGAAAGGAGCAACACAAGAACAACCACCTACAGCGACAACCCTCCAGACAGCAAAAACACTGATAAGAGCTATAAACAAAGAGACTTGGTTGAACAGATGGGCCATGGGAGACACTGGAAGAGAGGTTTATAGACATATGTCTGGCCCTGATCCTAATGACAGCATTAACCATCTAACAAGAAGGGACCAGGCCACCATCTTCAGACTTAGAACGCAACATACTCCACTCAATGGACACCTAAACAGAATACAGCCACAACACTCCCCAGAGTGCCAGCTATGTAACTACCCCTACGAAACTGTTGAACACCATCTCTTTGAGTGCCCAAAACTCAGTGAGACAAGAAGAACGCTACTCCCTCCGAGACCAGACAAGTGGAACACCTTGTACGGAGGAAAAGAACAGCTTGTGAAAACATGCAAATTCCACTACATGGCATTGGGCCAAAGGGCGAAAGCTCATGCGCCGCTGGATCGATAACAACAATATATACAGTGGAACCTCGCTTAACGAGCATAATTCGTTCCAGCATCACACTCGTTAAGCAGAACAATTTTTCTGAAATAAATTATGAAATTATGATTTATGTCAAAAGAAATACTCACAAAATGTTGTGTATAACGTTTATTCAAAGAAAATTATAGACATATTGTTAAGGAGAGTGAATCCTCTTCATCTTTTCTTCAAACGCGGAACAAACCCACCTGGAATGTGAATTTGATTTGCAGAAAACAAAACACAAAAAAGTAAAAATAATTATGATACATAGCTAATTATTTTTTTTACTTGAAAGATGTCCATTTGTTTTTTCAGACGCTTCAAAATTTGGCAAAAATGCGACACAGCATTATCATTAAATAAATTTGCAGCTCGCATAGCCACTTCTTTATTAGGGTGATGCTTGTCAATGTAAGATGCAACAGTTTCCTATGTTTTCAGCATTTCTTTAATTTGCCAGAAGATTGTTGCTTTTCTGTTACCTCCTCCTCCTCTGACAAACTTTCCCCCAAAACTTCTTGCTGTGAAACACAATGTAACTCCATAAGCTCTTCGGTGGTCAGCTCTTGGCTGTGCTCTTGCACAAACTCTTCGATATCACTGTTATCCACCTACAATCTCATGATAGTGGCCAAAGACACAATCTCGTTGACTACAGGTTCCACAGGTACTGTCTCGAAACCCTCAATGTCACAAATCGACAATGCTCTCTGGCCAAAGCTTCTTCCAAGCAAAAGTTAGGGTTCTCTTAGTAACCCCTTCCCACGCCTTGTCAATCATCTTGAAGCAGGCAACGATGTGGAAGTGATTTTTCCAAAACTCTTTGAGAGTGATTGGTCCCTTCAGTCACCTGAAAACAATGCTCGAAGAGTGCTTTAGTGTAGAGCTCCTAACGTTAGAAATAACTTGCTGGTCTATGGGATGGAGTAACGGAGTGGTGTTGGGAGGCAGAAACTGGATCTTGATGAACTTAAATTCTTTAGGGAGGTCATCTTGTAGGCCTGAAGGATTCATGTACATATATCACAATATAACACAAGTTTGAGAAAGTGTGTGATCACAAGTGACACTACGATGCTACTGGAACAAGTGCTAAACACAGACTGATGTAACATGTGCACAATCCTGGACTTCCCCTCTAATTGCCACTCGTAATGCGAAACATCGCTCGTTAAGCAAGTCATTCTTTTACAATTTGTTTTGATCATTATGCGAATTACTCGTTATGAAAGGTGCTCGTTAAGCGAGGTTCTACTGTGTGTATGTATGGATGTATATATATATATATATAATATATATATATATATATATATATATATATATATATATATATATATATATATATATATATATATATATATATATATATATATATATATATATATATATATATATATATA